ATGGTACATATAGAAAAACATATTATTAAAAAATTGCGAATTTTTTAGATAACATTACCATCCAGAACAGGATATTTGAATTGAGAATGGAAAAAGGAGACTGAATTTTAGAATTCTGATAGAAACTAGGGGGACATGTAGAAAAATTATTAAAAAGGAATTTATGATAATATACCATCCTAAAAACGGATTTTCGAATTAGAATAGGAAAGAGAGGCTGAATTTAGATTTTCATAGAAGCAGGGACATATAGAAAAATATATAAAAATGACGAATTTTAGATAAACTTTACCATCCAGAACAGGAGATATTTTCGAATTGAGAATGGAAAAAGAGAGTGATTAGATTTTTTGATAGAAACTAGGCGGGTACATATTAGAAAAATATATAAAAATGAATTTTAAGATAACTTTAACCATCCAGAACAGATATTTCGAATTGAGAAGAAAAAAGAGTGGCGAATTCAGAATTTTATACGACTCAGGGGGTACAGTGTAAAAAATATATTCAATGCGAGTTTGATATAAGATTCTTTTCAGAACGGATATCTACAAATGAGGAATTAAAAAGAGGGCTATTTTGATTTTTCATAGACAACTATGGGGTTACATATAGCAAAATTTCAAAGCGGAATTTTTAGATATCATTACCATTCCAGAACGGGATATTTCGAATTGAAAATAGAAAGAGAGGCTGAATTCAGATATTTTACTGGAACTCAGGGGGTACATGTAGAAAAATATATTTAATGCGAGTTTGATATAAGATTTCTATTCAGAACGGGATATTTCGAATTGAGAATGGAAAAAGAGGCTGAATTTAGATTTTTCATAGAAACTTAGGGGGTACATATGGAAAAATATATAAAAATGCGAATTTTAGATAACATTACCATTCGGAACGGGATATTTCGAATTGAGAATAGAAAGAGAGGCTGAATTTAGATATTTATAGGATCTCAGGGGTACATGTAGAAAAATATATTTAATGCGAGTTTGATATAAGATTTCTATTCAGAACGGGATATTTCGAATTGAGAATGGAAAAAGAGGCTGAATTTAGATTTTTCATAGAAACTTAGGGGGTAAATATAGAAAAACATATAAAAATGCGAATTTTAGATAACATTACCATTCAGAACGGGATATTTCGAATTGAGAATAGAAAGAGAGGCTAAATTCAGAATTTTCAAAGAAACTTAGGGGGTACATATAGAAAAACATATAAAAATGCGAATTTTAGATAACATTACCATCCAGAATAGGATATTTTGAATTGAGAATGGAAAAAGAGACTGAATTTAGATTTTTGATAGAAACTTAGGGGGTACATGTTGTTGAATATTTGACTATCTTGCAGACACCACTACAAGGCACGAACTGTAGAAGCTTATATCTGTAAGTAGTATACGGGGTTCGGCGTAATATGACCAAAGACGTCCAACATTAAATACGAGGTTATAGTTAGCGTGATTATATATATCGTAAAATAAACCAATTGAGTGACTTACACAAGTCGATAGTATAATGTATAATTTGTAAAAACCGTTCGTTTGAGTTCAAATGCGGCCACAACTCCCTGCGTGACCGCTCCATGTATCTTCGACTCTTGACTCCTTCCTCTCGACTCACCACAGGGGTCCGAAGTTATAACAAAAAGATAACAAAATCCAACACATGTAGAAAAATATATAAAAATGAGAATTTTAGATAACATTACCATCCAGAACAGGATATTTCGAATTGAGATTAGAAAGAGAGGCTGAATTTAGAATTTTCATAGAAACCTAGGGGGTACATATAGAAAAATATATAAAAATGAGAATTTTAGATAACTTTACCATCCAGAACAGGATATTTCGAATTGAGAAAAGAAAGAGAGGCTGAATTCGGATATTCATAGGATCTCAGGGGGTACATGTAGAAAAATATATTCAATGCGAGTTTGATATAAGATTTCTATTCCGAACGGGATATCTCAAATTGAGAATGGAAAAAGAGGCTGAATTTAGATTCTTCATAGAAACTTAGGGGGTACATATAGAAAAATATATCTAAATGCGAATTTTAGATAACATTACCATTCAGAACGGGATATTTCGAATTAAGAATGGAAAAAGAGGCTGAATTTAGATATTTATAGGATCTCAGGGGGTACATGTAGAAAAATATATTTAATGCGAGTTTGATAAAAGATTTCTATTCAGAACGGGATATCTCACATTGAGAATGGAAAAAGAGGCTGAATTTAGATTTTTCATAGAAACTTAGGGGGTACATATAGAAAAATGCGAATTTTAGATAGCATTACCATCCAGAACGGGATATTTCGAATTGAAAATAGAAAGAGAGGCTGAATTCAGATATTTTATTGGAACTCAGGGGGTACATGTAGAAAAATATATTTAATGCGAGTTTGATATGAGATTTCTATTCAGAACGGGATATTTCGAATTGAGAATGGAAAAAGAGGCTGAATTTAGATTTTTCATAGAAACTTAGGGGTTACATATAGAAAAATATATAAAAATGCAAATTTTAGATAATATTACCATCCAGAACAGGATATTTCGAATTGAGAATAGAAAGAGAGGCTGAATTTAGATTTTTCATAGAAACTTAGGGGGTACATATAGAAAAATATATAAAAATGAGAATTTTAGATAATATTACCATCCAGAACAGGATATTTCGAATTGAGAATGGAAAAAGAGGCTGAATTTAGATATTTTTTATAGAAACTTAGGGGGTACATATAGAAAAATATATAAAAATGCGAATTTTAGATAACATTACCATTCAGAACGGGATATTTCGAATTGAGAATGGAAAAAGAGGCTGAATTTAGATATTTATAGGATCTCAGGGGGTACATGTAGAAATATATATTCAATGCGAGTTTGATATAAGATTTCTATTCAGAACGGGATATCTCAAATTGAGAATTGAAAAAGAGGCTGAATTTGGATTTTTCATAGAAACTTAGGGGTTACATATAGAAAAATATATCTAAATGCGAATTTTAGATAACATTACCATTCAGAACCGAATATTTCGAAGTGAGAATGGAAAAAGAGGCTGAATTTAGATATTTATAGGATCTCAGGGGGTACATGTAGAAAAATATATTTAATGCGAGTTTGATATAAGATTTCTATTCAGAACGGGATATTTCGAATTGAGAATGGAAAAAGGGGCTGAATTTAGATATTTATAGGATCTCAGGGGGTACATGTAGAAAAATATATTTAATGCGAGTTTGATATAAGATTTCTATTCAGAACGGGATATTTCGAATTGAGAATGGAAAAAGAGGCTGAATTTAGATTTTTCATAGAAACTTACGGGGTACATAAAGAAAAATATATAAAAATGCGAATTTGAGATAACATTACCATCCAGAACAGGATATTTCGAATTGAGAATGGAAAAGAGACTGAATTTAGATTTTTCATAGAAACTTAGGGGGTACATATGGAAAAATATATCTAAATGCGAATTTTAGATAACATTACCATTCAGAACGGGATATTTCGAATTGAGAATGGAAAAAGAGGCTGAATTTAGATATTTATAGGATCTCAGGGGGTACATGTAGAAAAATATATTTAATGCGAGTTTGATATAAGATTTCCATTCAGAACGGGATATTTCGAATTGAGAATGGAAAAAGGGGCTGAATTTAGATATTTATAGGATCTCAGGGGGTACATGTAGAAAAATATATTTAATGCGAGTTTGATTTAAGATTTCTTTTCAGAACGGGATATTTCGAATTGAGAATGGAAAAAGAGGGTGAATTTAGATTTTTCATAGAAACTTAGGGGGTACACATAGAAAAATATATAAAAATGCGAATTTTAGATAACAGTACCATCCAGAACGGGATATTTCGAATTGAGAATATCAAGAGAGGCTGAATTCAGATATTTATAGGAGCTCAGGGGGTACATGTAGAAAAATATATTTAATGCGAGTTCGAAATAAGAGTTCTATCCAGAACGGGATATTTCGAATTGAGAATGGAAAAAGGGGCTTAATTTGGGTTTTTCATAGGATCTTAGGGGGTAGATATAGAAAAATATATAAAAATGCGAATTTTAGATAACATTACCATCCAGAACGGGATATTTCGAATTGAGAATAGAAAGAGAAGCTGAATTCAGATAGTTATAGGATCTCAGGGGGTACATGTAGAAAAATATATTTAATGTGAGTTTGATATAAGATTTCCATTCAGAAGGGGATATTTCAAATTGAGAATGGAAAAAGAGGCTGAATTTAGATTTTTCATAGAAACTTAGGGGGTACACATAGAAAAATATATAAAAAGGCGAATTTTAGATAAAATTACCATCCAGAACGGGATATTTCGAATTGAGAATAGAAAGAGAGGCTGAATTCAGAATTTTCATAGAAACTTAGAGGGGACATGTGAAAAATATATTTAATGCGCGTTTGATATAAGATTTCTATTCAGAACGGGATATTTCAAATTGAAAATGGAAAAAGAGGCTGAATTTAGATTTTTCATAGAAACTAAAGGGGTACATATAGAAAAATATATAAAAATGCGAATTTTAGATAACATTACCATCCAGAACGGGATATTTCGAATTGAGAACAGAAAGAGAGGCTGAATTCAGATATTTATAGGATCACAGTGGGTACATGTAGAAAAATATATTTAATGCGAGTTTGATATAAGATTTCTATTCAGAACGGGATATCTCAAATTGAGAATGGAAAAAGAGGCTGAATTTAGATTTTTCATAGAAACTTAGGGGGTTGTTACGGTACAAAGATCGAACTTCTATCACGTGCTGGTCCATGTGGGTATCAGCGTGAACATAGTTTTATCAACTTTTATGCTTTTTAACTATTGTTCTGTTCTAGTATCTAATTGGCTGTTATCATGTTCTGTTTTGTTATTGGCTAGCTGTATTTTAGAAAGGGTATAAAGTAGCTTGCTTGTTTTAGAGTAGGAGGCTTTTTACTGTGGGTGTTCCTGCCTTGCCAAAAGAATCGTGGCCGCTGTTTCCCGACGAAAGTCGAAGAGTGTGTCTCTTGAAAGACGTCGCTGTTGTCCTGTTGCCATTCGAAGTGTTTAGTTCAAAGACGCCACAAGTCGCCAACACTAAAGCAAGCAAGCTAAAGGTCATGAGTGCTTTGTTATCATTGTTATTCTTAGCTTCTCTACATTCTTTATATTAAACATTTGAGACTGATTGCCTATGAAGTTATTCGTTGACTCACAAACTGTTAGACTTAGAGGCGTAGTCTAATATTGGTGCCCCGTGTGAGGATTACTACTTTCCAGGAAAAGTTTTTGGAAAAATTTTGAGAGAACAGTATACTTTGTTGCAATAGTTTTGAACTTTAATGAAGATTACGAATATAAACTCTTGGGAAATGGAATTGAAGGAATTTGACGAACTTGCTGTTTTTCTTATTGTGGCAACATACCAACTTTGTTTTATGGAACTAAAGAAACTGAGAAATAGTAAAAGTCGATATCTCGTGATATCTCAGTCTATTTTGCTTGCGTGTTTTGTGCTTTCGTGACAAATTGGTGTGATATTGCGTATGTTTAACTTATTGAATTGAACTACGTCATTGAACAATTATAAATTATGCTATACGCCAAGATCGTTGCCAGCTCATTTGTTTGCCTTTAACAATCGCATTTTTAACGGTTGTATCGACTTTCCTGTTGTTTATAATCGAATTAGCGTAAACAAAATGGAGAAACAAAACGCCGCTTTCGCTGCAACAATTAATGACTTGCAAAATCAAATGACTGCTGTTCAAGGAAATAATCAGGTCACTGTATTTAAGCCTCGCAAAGTTTTATAATTGGTCCAATGCCAAAAAGCTCGGCGCGATTTCGCTACTTTTGGATGGCCCTGCGTTAGCCTGGCTACATACACAAAATCCTGACACAGTCAATAATTACAACAACTTGGTAGAGGCACTCAAGTCTCGTTTCGGCACTCAAAACCTTGATTTTCTATTTCACCAAGAGCTTTATTCTCAAAAACAAGGACCTTTAGAGCCTTTATCACTGTATACGGCCGACATAATTAAAATGTGCCAACGTTTAAGTATTTCTGACAAAGACATGATGAACATTTTCATTAATGGCCTTTCTAGTGAAATAAAAAACTATGTCATTCTTAATCAGCAAGATTCGTTTGAAGAAGACGAGAGCCTCGCCCGTTTGCGCGATGCAGTTATAAAGAACACGCCTGATATGTGAAATTCCAGTACTTTCCAAGACCAACGTATTAAGGAACTCGAATGACAAGTGAATATATTGATGTCTTCCATGTCAGCCAAACGTTTACCAACGCAAGCATTACCAGTACAGGCTGTTGGATTCAAAAACTTTTCCCAGCCTGCCCCCGTTCCTGTAGCTACTGCTGCTGCTAATTATGTTTCACGTAATGAGCTATCTGAATTAAGACAAGATATGTTGGCAGTTATGGATGCTAGGTTGAAACAAAATTTTCAAGGAAAAGGGGGTCCTAATTATTTTCCAGCACGTCAAGGTCAAAAGGGTGTTCGTGGCCGCAACCTGCGCACAACAGACGGCCAACCAATTTGTAATAAGTGTCAGAGAGTTGGTCACGTGGCTCGTTATTGTCCAGAGTCCAATCAATCATTTAAGAAGTCTCAGAATCAAAGTTGCAGAAACGGTCAACAACATTTAAATGGAATGGGACCTTCTCGGTGGGGTCAATGAAGGTCCATAACCGCCCTATTAATGTATTACGCCCCAAAGAGAACAACTCTAAACCTGATAAAGAACTGCAGACGTGGTTTGACAATGGAAAACTTTCGAAATCCTGTCAAAGTACTAGTAAAAGTTTTGTACCTGACGCAAAACAAACTTTTGGCAGTGAATGTCAACCCATTCAAACTGATCTTGCGAATAATTTGGCAGGAAAATCGATTTATCAAGAATCTAACAATGAAATACTAAACAATGATTTGCCGTTGATTTCATCTGAATTATCTTATTCGTCGTCGACTCAAAGTAATGTCCTTATCTGGGGGATTGTCGAGAAACAAAACTTTAAATTGTTGGTTGATACTGGTGCAGCTGTAACTGTAATTAGTGACAAATTTTATAACGACGTTTTGCTTGTAGCCTATTGCGTGCGCCGACAAGAAAGTCTTAACAGCGTGAAGACTGCGGACGGAAAAGAGGTTCCTGTTATTGGAGCTGTCTCGTTTCCAATACTCGTAGGATCGGTTTCCTATCAATGTCATGCTTTTGTGGTAGCTGGTTTAGCTTATAGTATTGTACTTGGTCGTGTTTTTTTGCATGAGTACGGTGCTGTTTTTGATGTCCGTCAGCAATTTGTCGATTTTTCTGGTAAAAACAAAATCAATTTTGCCTCAGGGGAGTACCACCCACTGATCTCTGATGTAAGAGTTTCAAAAACTTTTGTTATCAATGCCCAGAGTGAATTGGTAATTCCAGCTCGTTTAGAAAAATTTGCTACGTCACATGTTGTTGGCTTAATTGAAGCAGTGCCTAAACTTTCTGATCGTTATCATCTGTATGGGGCCTGCTCGATGTCTTCTCCTAATGAAAATGGTGAAGTGACTTTTCGCTTACTAAATCCTTCAGACACACCTGTCATACTGTACAAAGGTTCAACTGTAGGTAGATTTCATCAAATAACATCCCCTGATGACATAATTTCGCTAGAATCTAAAGAGGTATCATCCATGGAAGCTCCTTTGCAGAGTCAGTATAATTCTTCTCCTCGTGAATTCAGTCTTCAGTTTAAGTCACTGCCTAGTCTTTCACTGTCTACTGCAGAAAATACTAAGCTGAATGAACTTTTAAATGAATATGCTGACATCTTTGCATCATCATCTCTTGATCTTGGTCACACAAATATCATTGAACATGAAATCGATACTGGTGATGCTAGGCCTATAAAGCAGCAGCCTTATAGAGTTTCTCAAGCACAAAGAGCAGAAATCGACCGTCATATTTCGAATATGCTTGAGCAGAAAATAATCAGTGTTTCTTGTAGTCCTTGGAGCTCTCCTGTTGTTTTAGTAAAAAAGAAGGACGGTACAACTGGATTTTGTATGAATTATCAAAAACTTAACGCTGTCACTCGTAAAGATAGCTATCCTTTGCCTAGAATTGATGATGCCCTTGATGCTCTTTCTGGTTCCCGATACTTTTCAACTCTTGATTTGCAATCTGGATATCATCAAGTTGACATGCACGATGATTCTAAAGAGAAAACTGCCTTTATTGCGCATTCCGGCTTGTACGAATTTAATGTGTTAAGTTTTGGTCTAACGAACGCCCCGCCGAACTTTCAACGTCTAATGAGCAATGTGTTACATGGCCTCGATTGGAAAATTTGCTCAATATACATAGACGATATTATCATCTTTTCGCCATCTTATGAAGAACATCTCGCACGCTTACGTCTCGTATTTAATCGTTTGCGTGATGAGAACTTGAAACTCAAACCCTCGAAGTGTCGTTTCGCCAGTCAGTCTGTTGACTTTCTCGGTTTTGTGGTTTCATCAAAAGGAATTTCACCTGATTCCAGCAAGATTGAAGTTGTTAAATCGTTTCCAGTTCCAGAATCAGTAAAGGAGGTTCGTAGTTTCCTCGGCCTTTGTAATTACTACAGACGTTTTGTTGAAGGTTTTTCGAAAATTGCTTCACCTTTGAATCGTTTAACTCGCAAGGATGTTGTGTTTGCTTGGACACCTGAGTGCCAGTCTGCTTTTCAAACATTAAAGAACCGTTTGTGTTCTCCTTCGATTCTGGCCTATCCAGACTTTAATTTGCCTTTTCATCTGTTCACGGATGCAAGCCATTCAGCGTTAGGCTATATTTCAGGACAGATAGTCGATGGTGAAGAGCACGTGATAGCATATGGTGGTCGTGAATTGAGCTCTGCTGAAACTCGCTATAGCACTACTGAGCGTGAAGCCTTAGCTGTTGTGGATGGCATAAAAACGTATGAGCCTTATTTTTCTGGAAAAAAGTTCTTTGTTCATACCGATCATGGCAGTTTATATTGGTTAATGCGTGTCAAAGACCCTACTGGCCGCCTTGCACATTGGACCTTACGCTAGCAACAGTATAATTTTGAAATTATTCATCGCCCTGGTGTTGCTAACGGTAATGCAGACGCACTTTCTCATCGCATCTATTCTGCATCTCCTTCTGCTCATGAAGTTTCCTCTCTCGATTTACCAGTAGCCGTTGTCGACCATCCTTGCCCACCACCATCTACCTTGCAAAAATTACAGCGACAAGACAAAGATCTTGCTGACATAATTCAGTATTTAGAAAAGTCGGAATTGCCAAGTAGTGACACTAAAGCTTGCGCGTTATTGCTGTCTATCGATTCTTTTTATTTGGATGAATATGGGATCCTTTGTCATCTATGGACCCCTGGAAAGCGTCTCTATGTACTCAGGTCGTCATTCCTGCGTCTCTTCGTCATGAAATTCTTGTTTCACTTCATGATAACCCAACTGCCGGACACCTTGGCTCGGAGAAAACCGACGAAAAGGTTCGTTTGAGATATTACTGGCCAGGAATGTACAAAGATATTGAACACTGGTGTCGTTCTTGTGTAGATTGCGCAATGAAGATAAGTCAGCGAAATAAACGCAAGGCTCCGTTACTGCCTATTCCGATTGAAGGTGCTTTCGATCGTGTTGCTATGGACATTTTAGCCCCGTTTCCTGTTTCAGAAGATGGAAACCGTTACATTACCGTTTTTTCGGGCTATTACACACGTTGGCCTGAGACATTTGCCCTACCCTCTACAGAAGCTCCACGAATTGCTCAACTATTAATTGACGAAATACTCGCTCGGCATAGTGCACCTCGCACTCTACTTTCTGATCGTGGATCTTATTTTCTGTCGTCTATTGTCAACGAGGTTTGTAAAATAATGAACACGCGCAAATTGAACACTACCACGTACCATCCGCAGACTGATGGCCTTGTCAAACGATTCAATGGAACTCTTGCTGAAGGCTTATCAATGTATGTCAGCAGTCATCAAAAGGATTGGGATCGTCATATCCCCATGGTTCTCTTCGCATATCGTGTTTCGCCTCATGCTTCTACTGGTGAGTCGCCTTTCTACTTACTGTACGGTCGTGAGCCTTGTTTACCTGTAGATGCTGCCTTGTTATCTATCGCCCTCCGCTCATCTTTCGTTGTCTGTTGCTGAGCATCGTGCACGCATCCTTACAAATTTGGAGAATGCGCAGCGTATCGTTTCTTCTAAGACGCAGTTGGCTCAACGAAAAATTAAAGAATACTACGATCGTAACAGTCAACCAGTTCGTTCTTTACGATATCGGAGACAAAGTATGGGTGTTTACCCCTAAAAGCAAGAAAGGCTTATCGAAAAAATTATTGCACAACTATCACGGTCCGTAGTGTATTGTCGCAAAGCTTTCTCCGGTCCACTTTCGTTTGCGAACTCTCTATAACCGTCCGGTATCGGTTCCAGTTCACGCCAATAGATTAAAGCCGTATTACGATCTGAACGATCGTCCACTCGAGCCACGCGCAGATTTTGACAATTCTAACTACCTCCCTGACAATGATTTGCTTTACGATAGTTTCGACACTGGTCTGATACCAGAAGAACCGGCTTTAATGCGCCCGGAAGAGACACATACTCCGTTGGAGATTAAGAACTACGTTGCTCTCACAACCAAGGAGGTTTGAACTTAAGGGGGGAGGTATGTTACGGTACCAAGATCAAACTTCTATCAGGTGCTGGTCCACGTGGGTATCAGCGTGAACATCGTTTTATCAACTTTTATGCTTTTTAACTATTGTTCTGTTCTAGTATCTAATTGGCTGTTATCATGTTCTGTTTTATTATTGGCTAGCTGTATTTTAGAAAGGGTATAAAGTAGCTTGCTTGTTTTAGAGTAGGAGGCTTTTTACTGTGGGCGTTCTTGCCTTGCCAAAAGAATCGTGGCCGCCGTTTCCCGATGAAAGTCGAAGCGTGTGTCTCTTGAAAGACGTTGCTGTTGTCCTGTTGCCATTTGAAGTGTTTAGTTCAAAGACGCCACAAGTCGCCAACACTAAAGCAAGCAAGCTAAAGGTCGTGAGTGCTTTGTTATCATTGTTATTCTTAGCTTTTCTACATTCTTTATATTAAACATTTGAGACTGATTGCCTATGAAGTTATTCGTTGACTAACAAACTGTTAGACTTAGAGGCATAGTCTAAGAGGGTACATAGAGAAAAATATATAAAAATGCGAATTTTAGATAACATTACCATCCAGAACGGGATATTTCGAATTGAGAATAGAAAGAGAGGCTGAATTCAGATATTTATAGGATCTCAGGGGGTACATGTAGAAAAATATATTTAATGCGAGTTTGATATAAGATTTCTATCCAGAATGGGATATTTTGAATTAAGAATGGAAAGAGAGGCTTAATTTAGATTTTTCATAGAATCTCAGGGGTTACATATAGAAAAAAACATATAATGCGAATTTGAGATTAGATTTCTATCCAGAACGGGATATTTCGAATTGAGAGAAGAAAAAGAGGCTCAATTCAGATATTTTATAGGATCTTAGGGGGTACGTGTAGAAAAATACGTATAATTCGAGTTTTAGATTAGATTTCTATCCAGAACGGGATATTTCGAATTGAGAATAGAAAGAGAGGCTCAATTCAGATATTTTATAGGATCTTAGGGGGTACATGTAGAAAAATACATATAATGCGAGTTTTAGATAAGATTTGGATCAAGACTTGGACATTTAGAATTGAGAATGGAAAGAAAGGCTGAATTCAGATTTTTCATAGAAACTTAGGGGGTACATATAGAAAAATATATAAAAATGCGAATTTTAGATAACATTACCATCCAGAACGGGATATTTTGAATTGAGAATAGAAAGAGAGGATGTAGATAGACCAAGAGCTTGCTTTTTGGTCAGTGAACCAGCTACGATTCTTGGAAAAGCACATTTAAAATTTTTTGTTGAAAGTTTTATGTAACCTCTAGACTAGAAGCTTATGTGGAATTTTTATTTGTTAAATTTTCAAATTTCAAAGTTTCCCCTTTTTTTATAAAACCAAGAAAAAAGGCACTACGATTTGGTGCTGTTCCTATCAACTGTCCACCAACCAAATCACATCAATCTGTAACTTTAGAAAGGAGGATGTTCAAAAAAGAAATTGATGTTGCGGTAACAATAAGACCTTGTTACAGAAACTTTAAAGAATTGTGCTTGCGATCCAAGTTGCTAAAATTGCTAAAATTGATGTTGCGGCAATTTCAATTAAGAGATAACCTTGCATCATTGATGCTTTATTTAAAAGAATATGCAATTCCAAAACTGGAGATTACCATAGATGAAAGCCTCAGGTTCACTTGCTTTGTTTGTGGATGGTTGTTGCCAAATGAGCATTGAATATATCAAAATGTCGAATATGCTCATAACTACAACTGCTTAGGCTTCATTGTTGATGATCATCTATCTTACGACCTGCATATCAAAGATCTAAGCAAAAAGCTCAATTGTGGCATTTCAATATTGCGACGCATAAAACCATACGTTCCAACTGACAGTATGATGCCAATTGTAATGAGCCATCTTGAGTACTTCGCACTATTATTACATAATCTTAATAAGGGTCAAATGAATTTGCTCGTGAAACTACAAAAGCGTCATGCACGCACAGTACTGTCTTGCAGTAATCAGACTCACAGCAAACCTCTGTTTATCAGCCTTGATTGGCTGCCATTTCATTATATCATTGAACTACAAACTGCCGTGTTAATGTACAAAATCAAGCATGCATTGTGCCCTCAGTATCTACAAGAGATGTTTGTCAGCACTTCAAAGGTGCACACTCAAAGGACCAGATCAGTATCCAATGATGCCATGTACATTAAAAGGGGACCAGTAGTAATTGGGCAGTTATTTTATATTTCAAAACTTTTTACACCAAATATTTCAAATGTACTATTTCTGCCCCCACATCAAAAATTACATTCATCACTCCCTTTTAATACCAAGAAAGGCACATATTTGATTCTCACTCTAAGGTATAACGAGGAGAAGTTCAGAAGATGGATTACAAAGTAAGGGGGTCAGGATATCTTCTTTTATTTCCAAAGATCCCATATAAGCCAATGCGAAAATATTTTTAAAAAACGAAATAAGATACTTTACCATTTTGTAACAGCTTTTTATCAAATAGGATCTTCAAGAAATATTTTTGACAGCCCTGGCTCAGACAGCTATCTCAGTCACTATCAATCATTTCTGAAGTCTGACACTATCCTGTCTATATACCAAGCTACTTTCTTTTCGTTTTTTGAAATAGTCTTCAGAACCAACTTTTGACAGAAGGCCACAGTAGTGGAGAATAGATAAGCATATATAATTTGAATAAATTCAACAGACATTTCGCTAGTGCCTAGACATTAATGTTTCTTTGTTTTTCAATGTTCAATATTACAAAAAGTCCGACTGATCGTTTCTTTTGCTTCTTCTGCACTTTGATTCCGTGGCAGTCACACTTTGTTCATCTACAGCTTCTTTTGTTTGACAATCAGCATGATCTAATTCTTCTGCCAACCACGCTGTGTCCCCTAAATCTGAAGTAACCACCAACATACATTCAAAGCAGTCCTCTGACAAGACTACTTCTTCATCACTCAGTTTGAAGGTACCATCTTCCAAAAATGTAATAATTCTTTCCAGTTCTAAATTTGTTCTTTCAAATTGATAGAATTGTAGCGGTAAAAATGGATACCGACAAAATATTGTGACTGCAACTACTAAGTCATTTGCCGTAATTTCTTTTGTCATTAATCACAAGGAAAAATTTGGATGTATCTCCTGCTCTGGCTAAGATAGAAGTTCTCTTCTTTATTATCCCTATACTTCTTTCCCTGTGCAGGACATCCTCTGTTTGTAAAGATGTTACAGGACTTTCCTCATCTTCTCTAATGAACAAATTGGAAAAATCCAACGCGTGTGGTGTATAGGGTCTTGCTGTGTAACAATTTAGAGGCAATGTACGTTGTCCTTGGTTGAAGATTCCTTACTGTTAATTGTCTTACGCTTTGACCATGTTTTGAATTTACATCATCAGGGCCTTGAAGGTCGCGAGACTCCATTGTAATATTGCAAACCTCTGTCACACACTTTTTCAGAAAATCATTGATGCTTTCCAAGCGTGCTAAAGGATCGTCCAACAAAATCAACCCTAAGCGTCATGTCCACGTCTGTAAAAAGAAGAAGCTCCAACTTTTCTTAGTACTGAACAAGCCAATGTGAATTAACAACCATTTTTAACATTTTTGCTGCAGTATCGCACACAAAACCTTTTCTCAGTTCACTGCAAAGAGCTGTCGGTTGGCGATACTCTCCTGCTGACCCATCACCAACTCCCTCCTTTCTTAGCTTACCACTGATTATTTCAACAAATTTGCTAAACAAACACATCTTACGAACAACCTTTGCTTTGATATCAGAAAAATTAGATCGTTTCTACATAAAGCAAGACCATGAACTGAGTGGTTATCTAGACTTTCATTGCTAATCACGGTTTCCACTCAAGCATTACCAGCAGCCATTTTTTGGTAGTTAATGGAGACCTGCAAAGTCAAGTAAACTTATACTTTATTGAAAGCTTATGACCTGAACAAGATGAAAATGATAATTATTTTTTTGAGAAATAAATTTTTCTTCGCTTTTGACTCTCAAAATGTTTGATTATAACCTCGTGGGAGAAATCTTCCCCCGCCCACGCTTATGATGTCAGAGGTGAACATTGAGATTTCAATCGCAGTCAGCAAAACCAGCCAAACGTCCTAAAGATGGTGGGTTGTGCAGCTTAAAACTGTTTCAACAACAGCAGTAATAGAATCAGAAACGAACCTGAAAAGAAAATTACATTTCACAAGTTTCCGGAAGACTTGAAATTAAGAAAAAAATGGATTGAAAACATGCCTTTAGCAAATTTCAATCTGGAACCGCACTCTCGTCTTTGTCAAGAACATTTTTCCAACGACAGTTACCAGCGAAGTCCAGATCTCCTGAGGTCCCTTGGTTTCGAAAATGAACGTTTATTATTAAAAGATGATGCAGTGCCTACTATATTCGACAGAGGATCCCCAAAAGGAAAAAAGCTGGTGAAGGCTAGGACACCTTTTAAAGCTAGGCCATCGCTAAGTCCAAGAAAATTGATTACCGGGTGCCCAAAGAAAAAACGAAGAGAAGCGTATGAAAAACGACAACGTAGAGAAGTGAGTAGGGACATTTGTTTAATCTTCTTTACAGAATTCAGCGCCTGTATTACATAACAAGTGTAATTTATTTGCCATTTACAAAGAGACGCATTAGCGGCCAGGAAACATTAACAATAAGCCAAAAAGAGACTTTTTAACATTAACAAGGGGATGCGTCCCCTTTAGCTTACTAGTTTTGCATCTCTGTTTACCATATACGTATACTGCATCAGAAATGATTTTGTTTTGAATTCAATATTTCTTAATACTTAAGGTTATAGAAAATCTACTCCAAAAATACAAAGACCCCCAAACAGCTGTCATCGCAAGCACAGTGTCAGAACCAACCGAAAATGTAAAGCTCAACCGAAACAATAGTGATAATGACGAAAACAACTTGCTTCAAACGATTTTAAGTTCTGAAACAAGCTATCAAGGTGGCGATACCGGGAAAAGGAAAAAAAAATTAAAAAACGTTGACTAAAACAAGATGTGAGCAAACTTCTTTTGTTGTAAGATCTTAATGAATTTATACTTTTATGATTATAATTTGGGGGTAGGGTCTCATGAATTGCATCAGAGCTCTGGGACAGGGTATCAAAATTAAAATTATTTCAATAATCTGCTCCCATAAACCGTGTGTCTTTGTATATTTTAGCATTTTTGTGCCATATTTTTGCACTTATTTATGAAACAGGGTATGTATTTGGAATACTTTTAATGTGACAGGGTCAGGTTGCAAATTTTTCTGCACACCCAAATTTTTCTGATCACTTTCTAATCAAGCGACCCCCCCCCCCCCATGGTGGTTGGGATAAATAAATATAAAACCTTTTCAGTTTTTGTAAGTAGTCCCTTTAATAATTGATGGTAAATGACCATTTTTCAGCTATCCAAGTCTCGTTTTGTGGGGACAACAAACAAACACAATGTTGCATGCAGAAAATTGAAATTGTTGGCCAGGAAACACAATATGAGCCCCCTTTTAATGTTGATTTAGCTATTGCTGATTTGCTTAAAAGTCCAAACAACCAGGACCATTATTCAACATCAGAAAAAGAAGACCCAGAATGGTTGCCAGAGAACGATGAGAAATCAGATTATGAGTATGAAGACATATGAGCAAAATCCACAGTCATACCACCAGGAAAGAAAGTTTATTGTTTTTTAATCTTCGCTTCAGCAACTTCTCATCAGCTGCAACATTTGCTCTGCACAAACAATGATTGAGAAGAAAACAACTTGTGGTACAATGTTAATTGTTAAATCGATATGTTTAGAGGGTCACTCAACTGAATGGAGGACTCAACCTGAGCATAACAAAATGCCATGGGGAAACATTCTCTTGGCTGCTTCCATTCTCTTTTATGGTTCTCAACCAGCTAAAGTGTTAACCCTTTTCAGGCACATGAATATATGCTCCATTTCTGAACGCCTTTATTCCTTGATCCAGCATGCATACCTCCTTCCAAGTGTGTTTAAACTTTGGGATCAACAGACAAAATTATCGCTAGAAAGTGTTAAAAACATTTCTTACCCTTGGTGGGGATAGTCGCTGTGAAACACCTGCAGTTGTGCTAAATATGGGTCATACACCATAATGGACTTGGACATTAAAGCAACTATTGTAACATCAAAATGATTTCTCCTGGTAGCTACATATTAACTGCATCAGAAGTTCTCTAGAATATAATTGGTTAAAACAAGTTTTTAAAACATACTCTAGTAGCATAACACATCTAAGCACCAGAACTGACAAAACTTTCTTTGTAGAACTGGTAAGTGTGAGGAACTGTAAAAATAATTGTTTTTTAAATAAATTCAGATATTTCCAGACAAGTGTTTTGTTAATGAACAGTATATTGCATAATATTTTTGCATTTAAAAATACAGATACAAATTTGGTTGATACTCTTTGTACTCCAATTTCTTCAGATTTTCAATCAAATACAACTACATACTCGCTTGTTGGATGATCATCAATGAACTGCTCATCTTCAATATACTGATTTATAGCAGTCACAACAACATCGGGATTTAAGCAAACTGGAGTGAAGCCATCAATTTGGGTTATACACCCACAGTTAGCTTCATTGGCTTTCTGCAGAGTTAAAGCTCCCTGTCTGCAACAGAGGCATTCCACGCCTTTGGGCATCGAAACGCAATGACCACAATCACACCTGAGAAGTCAAGTGCAGGAAAAAGATAAATCATTTATCGTATTGGATATTAGAGCATGGAAACCTCTTAAAAGAAATATAGCTATTTGCGTGTCTATATTTTCAATAAGTGACCCTAACCACCAAATTCCTTATTAGTCAACCTTAAGCTTTCTTTTAGGCCTATTTCATTTAAGCCTTTCACTCATGTCAATATATCATAACAACATTAAGATAAAATAATCATATTAGCTTGTCATTTACGTAATTTAGATGATCTTTTTAACAACTATCTGATTAAACAACGTTAAATATTCAAAGTGGCAAATATGATCATCATCCAAGACATACCAATCAGTATTGCCGATTCTTTCAATGTTCAAATCCTCCTCATCGTCGTCATTACTGCTGCTCTTGTCTTCACTGAGTCTCCTCTCTCTCGGCAATGGTTCGTACATATATGGTCGAATCACCATTTTGTCCGTATTTACCATTCCATACTCGCTGTCCCCCTCACTGCTTGTCATTTTTGTTCGATCCAAGAATAATCTCTAAACAATCTTTCTGGATCGATGAAGCACCGGAAAAGTGCATTCCAATCAATGTTCACCTCTGACATAAAACCTATATGCGAGACTCTCGCGGTCATGCCCGTTCATCGATAAAAATGGCCGCCAGAGGGCTAAATAAGCAACTTTCAGCCTAAATAACTCGAAAACTACTAAATTTGTGGCAATTTTAACTCGAAATTCGAAATCAGCGTATTTATTTTGTATCTTCAAACATAAATTATTTTAGGGTTGCAGGTCTTCTTTAAAGAAAAATATTCCACCATTTTCTGGATGTGCAGAGGCCACATAGATTGTACCATTATCATATGCCATTCCATACACACTTGGAAGTCCACCAATTTTACCAATTACTGAACCTTTAAATGATACACCATTGACAATAAGCTTCACAGCTACAACACTATTTGTTGCTGTATCACTAATCATCAAAACACCATCCTCACAAAACAGCAATGCAGCTGGTCGTTTAATATCTTTGTCTAATTGAATTTTCTTCATATTGTTACCTTCAGATTCATTTCCACTTGCATTTCCAGAGGATCGATTCCTTTATTTGCTTGGCACATTTATCTTGCTTCATGATCAACTTTTCCAGAAAAAGGGCAAATTCACGTCTCTTCATTTTGTTATGTCTAACAGGCAATAGTTTTAAATCTTTAAGTACTTTCCTTGTTTCTTTTGCTGTTAATATTGCAGGGTCTAAAATTGTTTTTCCAGTAATGTCAACAAAAGAAATGCACCCTTTAACGTGCTCAGCTATGTAGACAATGCCATCCTTAAACTCGATGCTCAGAGGCTTTGACAATGGAGCCTTGCCATAAAACTTTCCCTTGGGGAGAATCTGTTATCAGTATAGATGAGGTCCAATGCAAATGCCAGTTGGACTTGAGATGGTCCCTCTCTTGTTTCCATCATAAAGTCGATATTTTTCTAGAATCAGTGTATTTGTTATGTGTAATTTGAAAATTTTCAAATAAGAATATGTATATGAATATGTAATTAGACATTGCTGCCGTTCATTATCAGTTCTGCAAAGTAGCGAGGACAATTTGGAATGCCACAATTTGCAGGTCCTACTATCATCACATTGCGGTATTTTCCCTTTCTTTTATCAACAATTCTCTAACGGCTGCTGCAAACACATATACGTTCACGCCATTGTTTCTCAAAACCTGTTTGGCACACATAAGCCATTGGCCTTGGCAGTCGGGGGTACATTGACCAGCAAGGGCAGTTTAAATTCTGCTAATTCTAGAAGCTTGGCTTCTGGCTATGGTAGCTGCCGCGTCTTTCATTTTCCACACCAAAGAAATGAGCAATAGTGGCTTTTTTCCAATAATGGCATCAGTTACATCTAGGTTCGACAATCTCCGTTTGCCTTTTTGTCTTGAAGGTCCTGCATCTCATTTGTTGCATCTGAATCAGCAGCTCCTTGGCGATTCCTTTTCATTAGCTGCTTTGAACCTCTGGACGTTCTTGGCGACGTTGCTGATTTTAGATCTGGGTGGTGGTCACTGTGTAATGGGCTGGAATCCTCTTTCATTACGGAGTAGGGGTTCCCATTGTTGTTGTTGTTGTTGTTGTTGAAGCGAGCAGGCGTTTTTTCTTGATAAGGAATTTGAGTTCATATTTCTATGAATATAACTGGAATGCAGAGTGGCCATGTGATTAAAACTAGTCATCTGCTGGAACAATAAGCAAGGATGAACTCTGATGACGTGAAAACAGCAAAAAAGGGCAGAGAATCTTGTTTTCAGTGATAAGGTTAGGCCTAACTTAGGCCCATTACCAGTTTGGGCAATTCGACTAAAACAGTAGAATTTTGCAAGGTATACAAGAAAGTACAACTGCCTGAACCGTGTATTTTAAACTAAGCCACTTTGAAACAGTAAAGAACAAAGAAAAGTGGATTGTGGCCTAACTAACTGGCCCCGACGGGAAAAACTTTCAGCAGTAATAAATGGCAAAAATGAAGAGAAAGGGAAAGAAGAAACCAAACTCTACAGACATAAAGGTAAAAAACTTCAAAGGTGGGCTGTCAGTATACCTGCCAAATAGAGAGGAAATGGAATATTGGCTGAATGCGTTTGATAAACGATACTACGATCATTTAGGCCAAGATCCCGACTATGAGAACCTACTTGTACAATGGGAGGCTGAAAATGGCAATGCTCCAGTACTGACAAATGAAGGCAAATTAGATCCAGAAGAAAACAAGCAGCTTACTATGTCAATCTATTTTAAAGTATGTGGTAACAGCTACAGAAAAATTCTTTCAGCAATCTTCTACCTACAAGGGAGAAAGCATTGTGTTATGATGGGAGGAACAGCAGCCTAATGCTGGTTTGAAGAAGAAATGCCAACGATCAAATATCTGGCAGACTTAAATAAGAAGGGTTTAACCCCTATTAAGGTCCTAAAAAAATCAAAGGGGGAACATTTCCCAGAGAAACTTGTGTCTGATCCAGGATGTAAAGCAAAACTAATCAAAATAGAGCTGTTGGATGATGAATACGACGGCATCGGTCAAAAAAGTCTCAAAGCAGGCACAGAAGACTCAGGAGACCCAGAAAACTCAGATGTAACACCAGACTCTGGAGAAGAACTATTAGAGGACTCTGAAGATGAAGAAACTGAGATAAGTGGTGACGAAGGGGGGGCAGAACATACTCAAACTGAAAAGGTAGTAGCAGGTGCCACAATAATGATAGAAGAAGAAAAAGAGGAGGAAAAAGGGAAAGGATATGGAAAAACAGTGCCTCCACCCCAGAGAAGCCATAAAGGAAGTGTTAAAAAAAGAGGTAGAAAAGAGAATGAACATAATGAAAAGAATGAAGAAAAGAAAACGGGAAAACAAGAAGCAAAGGCCCCCAGCTCTGATATAGCAAAGGAACGGGATGCACTCAAGAGAAGGGTTTTGCAATTAGAGCGAAAAGTGGAAAGGCTAGAATATGAAACACGTAGCCTAGCAGATGAAAAAGAAATGCTAAAAAGGGCATACAAAAGTGAAAAGAGAGAAAGAGAATATTTGGAAGAGATACTAGACAAACTTGATGAGGAAAAGGATGCCAAGGAAGCAGAGAGAAAAAGCAAGGAAAGGAAGCAACAAAAACAAGAAAAGGAGGCCGAGAAACCCTGGAGTCAAATGAGCCAATATGATATGCAACTCCAAACAGAGAAAGAGACCATCAGGGAATTAGAGAAAAAAGCAGAGTTAGCAAAATTGAGAGAATACCAGGAACACCTGAAAGCAAAGATAATAACTCAACCCCAAGATCAACAAATACGAATGACACAATACCAGCAACAGACCAATAACCAGCCCAACCAATTCTATCAATATCAACCCATACAAACCCTTCTTCCAGAGAGCCAAAATACCCCCAATAAGGTGCAAAATTTTGGGAAAAGGGAATGTAGATATGAAAAGAAACAGAAAGGCAGCTGTAGGTGGGGAAATGATTGTAAATTCTCCCACAACATAGGCGGGTTTGGTGGTAATGCTGATGAAAAGGATAGATGGAGGGCATCAGGATTATGCTTTGCACACATGACAGGAGTCTGCATAAGAACTGATTGCAGATTTTTACACCCAGAGAAACAAAGATACAAAGAGACAGGATATCTTCAGCAAACAGATGTAACAAACCTGATCGAACAATGCATAAAAGACTCAATGGATAGTATTAAAAAAGAAATTGTTAGAGACATACAATACCATCAGCAGCAACAAGTCCCTCAGCACCCTTGGGTATCATGGGACCCTACCCTTGTGTAAAGAGAAAAAAGTGGAAAAAAGCTCACATTAAAGAAAAAACAAGAAGGTATGATAAACAAAAGATAAAAATTCTGTATTCAAATGCTAATGGTCTAAAATCTAAAATAGACAGCTTATGTTCAATAATTGAGGATTTAGATCCTACAATAATTTGTATAACAGAACCTAAGTTTAAAACCTATGAGGGTCCTCTCAGTCTAAAAGGATACTGTGATCCTATAGAATTAAGAAGGGAAAAAAAGAAGGTGGTGGCATATGGATGATATATAAAAATTCACTAAAAGATAAAGTAACAGTCTTAGAGGTAGGAGATGATGATAATGAACAGGTCTGGACTAACATCAGTCTTGGATGTAGGGAAATAATATTGGGAGTGGTGTATGGTAAACAGGAATCTAGGACAAAAATAAAAAGTAACTTTACTTTCTTTGATAAAATTGATTATTATGCTGTAAAAGCTAAAATTGAAGACAAAGCATTGATAATACTAGGGGATTTAAATGTAAAAGTAGGAGATAACATAAAAGGGAACCATCCTAAAATAACTACAGGAGGAAAAAGTCTAATGAAAATAGTAAAGAAAAGAAAATTAAACATATTGAACAACAGTGATAAATGCCAAGGGCTTTGGACAAGGGTATCAACTACTGACAAGTGTAATGTTAATAAGAAGACGATACTTGATTATGCATTGGTTAATCAAAAAGGCTTTGATAAATTTGATAGAATGATTATTGATGAAGAAAGGAGATATGTTCTAGAAAGAGTGGGGAAATATAGTGTGAAAGAATCCGATCATAATACAATGGTGCTTGACTTTAACTTCAGGAAAAAGGATGTCTATAGCCAAAATCCTCAAAAGGAACAAGGGCACTGGGTCTTATCAAGTGACTCACTTAAGGAATTTGATAGACAAGTGAAAATTAACAAAATAGAAAATGTTTGGGATCAAAACAAACCAGTAAATGTCCTATATAAAGAGTGGAAAAGGAAAATATATGAAATTATGGCAAAATGCTTTAAGAAAAGGTACAACAGAAATAAGCACCATGTTGCAATGTAGGGAACTGATAAAGAAGAAAAGAGAGTTAAAACAGAAACTAAGTGAAGCTATCAAAAAAGAAGACAATTTGAGGGAAAGTGTTTTGAAGATAAGAATCAAACACTTGAACAACCAACTAGTGAGGACAGAGAATGAGAGTAAAGATATTAGGATGAAAGCAAACATTGAAAAGTTAAGTAGGGCTGCTGTGCAAAGCTCAGAATTTTATAAGATAAGGGCCAAAATCTTAGGAAGAAAAGCAGACTGCCCAACTGCTGTAATCAATGAGCAAGGAAAGGAATTAGTTGAACAAAATGAAATACTTGAGGAGCATGAAACCTACTTTGAGAAATTACTCACCAATAGAGAGCCAGATGAAAAATATAAAAATCATGTAAGATCAGTTGATAAGCTATTTGCCAAAGTAATACAATCCCAGAAGGGACAAAAGAAGAGATATGATGCCCCTTTTGAAATATGGGAACTGGAAAAAGTACTTAAAAGCCTGAAAATAAAGAAATCCCCAGGGGTTGACTCCATAAGTAATGAAATTTATACAAGTTCAGGCTATGAGTTTAAAAACTCTGTGTTGAAAGCAATTAACAAGGTTTTCACCACTGGTCAGCCCCCAAAGGATTGGAAGAAAATAATTGTTAGAACAATTTATAAGAAAAAAGGGAATAGAAAGGCAATAAAAAACTGGAGAGGTATATTTCTAACAGTAAGCATAAGTAAGATCTACGAAAAATTAATGCTTAATAGACAGATCAATGTTATCGAGAAAGGGTTTTCAGAGGCAGCCGCAGGAGGAAGAAAGGGTAGGTCAACATTAGATCATTTGTTTATTTGGCAAGCAATAAACGATTATTACAAATATCTAAAATGCTCAGTGAAGTTTGTGTACCTGGACCTAGAGAAGGCTTTTGATAAGCTGTGGCTAAAGTCTTGCATCATAGATATGTATAGAAGTGGGGTGAAAGGAAACTTTCTTAAAAATGTCTACGAATTAAACAATGAAGGATACATTCAAATCCACACACCTAGTGGAATTACAAGACAGGTTAGAATTAAAGAAAATTTAAAGCAAGGAACTATCTTGGCAGCCCCCATCTGTGCCAATCATATTGATAAAGGTATGCAAATAGTAAAAAGAGAAAACCTAGGAATTAACTTTGGGAACATTTTGATACCTCCACTACTTTACCAGGATGATATATTAATTGCTTCCATATCTCACAAGAAAATGCAGGAAATGATTACTATTGCTGAAGAGTTTCAAAAGAAAAACCTTTTGAATTTCAACTTGGATAAAAGTGAACAAATGATCATGCAATATAGCAAAAGTAAAAAATTCCAAAAAGAAACTTTAATTTTAAATGGCCAAGTTATTAAAGAAGTAGAGTCATATAAATATCTAGGAGACTTGAAAAATAACAAAGGAACCTTGGATTTGTGCATCAGTAAACGAATCAACACTGCCTTGGGAGTTATTAAAGAAATAAAATTCCTTATTAAACAGGAGGCACTCAAGAAACAAAGTTTTGCAATCAGTATCAAACTGATTGAAGCAATTTTGATGCCAAAAGTTCTGTACGCATGTGAAACATGGACTAACGCAACTAATAAGCAATTTAAAAACTTAGAAAAATTGCAAAAAGATGCAGTAACAATAATTAACTCTCTACCCCAATCAATGTCATATGATGGAATAGTCCTTGAATGTGGCCTGATGCCTATGGAATTTAGAATAAAAGAGAAAAGATTAATATACTTCCATAAGGTATTAAACATGAACGAAAGTAGATTGACCAAGATAGTTTATGAAGAGCAAAAACGTTTAAATTTCCCAAACTGTTGGTATAAAGAAGTGATTAGTGACATAAAACTGATTGATATTAACCTCAAAGAAAATCAGATCAAAAATTTAACCAAAGAACAGTGGAAAAAAGTTGTTAGAGAAAAAATGATCATAATCATAGAGAATAACATTAGAAATAATAGTAAGACTAAACTTAGATTTATCAAGGGTAGTAAATTTGAAATGAAAGAGTATCTGGGGTGCGAAGACGCGTCATCCCTGCTGAAATTAAAACTAAACATGGTTGACTTAAGAGCGAACTACAAAGGAAAGTACTCTGATTCTCTTTGCAGAAGATGTGGGGCCCATGAGGAATATATTGAACACTTATGGGATTGCCCAAGTTTTTATCAAAAACCCAAGATGGAAAAAACATGTTTAGCTACAAATAATTCAAAAATTCTTAAAAGTATCAACAACACCCTTCAAAAATTTCTTACCAATGGATGAAATAGAAATAAAAAGATTGGCTAAAATTATAGCACCAGCTTGTGATACCCAGTAGTTGGGTAACTGCTCCGAAATGGAGATTTAGCTTCAATTATTATTATTATTATTATTATTATTATTGATAAGTTTGAAATCTAGTGGAATTTCATTGAATATTTAAGAGAGTTCTAAAGGAACATGTCTTACAGTTTTCCCATCTTCAGTTGTCATTACCACAGCATGTTGATCATACTCATTATAATTTTTTGTTTCACAATATGAGCAACCACATCATTGAAGTATGCATATCCTGGGACACTGGATTCGATAAATAAATTATATTCCTGTGTCACGATCACTTTATTTCTTGCTGACTGAACTACTTTCCCTCCAACTTCTACACAGACACAATCACAAGGTTAAGAAATAAGGCCCATCCCGCGCCAGCACAGCAGCAGCAACAAGAAAAGTCGGTTAGACAGAACAGATCTCTGGGTAATTTTCAAAATGGCGGTTTTATCAGATGAACGTTGCGTTTGTGCCAGATATAGTATAGTGAATCGTACAATGCCTGCCAAAAGTCTTGGAACACTTGCTATAATTTACATTGTGCACAACCTGCAACATCCCCTTGTACAATTTTGTGCCACAGAAATATGAATAATCCTACATGTACCAGTGAGACTTTTTTACATAGCTATGGTTTTCAGCTAGCGAATCGACATTGAATGAGGGGGGAGGGGGGACAATACCCTCCTTGTTGACATGGAAATAGAACGGGACACGCAAATTCACAGAAATCTCAGGGTGTTCCAAGGACTTTGGCAGGCTTCGTCTGATCAGAGTTAAGCAGCATATCCAACAGCAACATGGTATTGTTGTGAATTTTTCTGACCATGCAGGCTATCATTCAGCTTTCGCATATGTGATGAAGGAAGATTTGGCTGTTCTAAAAAGTCCAAATCAACCTGCTGTTCCAATTCAACTGCTAATGTCACAAGGGCAGGGAAGGGCCGTAAAAGTGTCAAAATGGCTGAAAGCCTTTCCAATAGTGAAGTAGCAAAAATTGTTTTGCGAAATAAAATATGTGCTTGAATTGATGTCTTTCAAGCTTCCAAAAATTACAACTTAATATGCTCGCAAATCGTTTCGTTTCATGGCAGCAAAAATTTACAATGTTTGGTGTTGAGGATAAAAAAGTTATATTTTTGAATGACTTCAGGTCGTCTACAGTTATACTGCAATGGCATGACATGTTGTTATTGTTGGAAGGCCATGTTGTCCGTTTTGCTGCACCAAAACAACGTACAACCAGGACATTGAATTCTGCAGAGACACGCCAATCTTTGCAACAGCAAAAGCCCCAATATCTTTTGTCAAGGGTTCCATTATAAACGACCAAGAAACAGAGATGATGAATGTTTGATGGCGTATTTTCTCTTTTAGGCATCATGACATATAATGCCAGAAAACTGTTCCTTCCTGTGGACATTGTTTTGCAACAATGCTCCTTTATTGACAGCATTGATTATCACATGACTATCCTTCGCAGTTTGGTGCTCTGTAAATCAACTTTGCAAACAATGACGACTCAGAACGATCAACACAAGGGTCTACACTTTATTTTGTTCAGAATACCCCATATTCTATGCAGCATTTTCCTAGTAAAGG